AGGATAAAACTGATGGCAGTTTTTAAATTTCTGGGGATCATTCTCTCTACCTTAGGCATTTTAACCCTTATCCAGGATTCACTTGTCCCTAGATATACTCTCTTTCTCCCTGCAATCCTGTATCTATCATCCCCCTAACAGGGGTCCCCAACCCCCAGACCAGTACCAGTCATTGGCCTGTTAGGAACCGGGCTGTACACCAGGAGGTGAGCAGTGGGGTGGATGAGCGAAGCTTCATCTGTATATGTAGCCGCTTCCCAGCACTAGCATCACCGCCTCAGTTCGACCTCAGATCATCACGCATTAGATTCTCATAGAAGCACAAGTCCCTGGTGCCAAAAAGATTGAAGACCACTGCCCCACAAGTCAATATATTTTTTAAAACTCTTGCTTCTTACACCATGGAAACTTGAAGACAAACCATTTGAGGTAACTACTATTTAAAGGAAGCACAAGGTTACTGAGATCACGGTCATTGCTACCAATTCAATGCCAACAGGAGTCCCCAGTCTGGAGTGTGTTGAAGGGGAAGATTTTACTCAGTGAAAACAGCTCAATTATGAAACAGTGTAGTGTGATACAGCTCAATTATGAAAATGTTCAGCTGTGGAACAGCTCTGCTGTGAAACAGCTCAGGCGTGAAACAGCAGTTGAAGTGGCTCTGGTGTTACAGTTTTGGCTGGGGAAACAGTCTTCAATAGGAACAAAGTGTGCTCCATTGAGGCAGAGGGGAAGTTGGCTTATATAGAGAAGAGTGCTTGTCCCTGGTCCTTGACTGGTCCATTTCTATGCAAATGACTTCAAATCTGCACGGTTCGATTGGTCCAAATAGCACTGTCCTGATTGGTCAGAATGGAGCCACTCTGGTTGGTCAGTAAATATGCAAATGAGGATATAGTTGCACAACCCCAATTAGCTGGGGCAGGTCTTCAGCCCGTTAGTTGATTTACAAGCCCAGGAGCTCCTTTATAAAGGTCAACTCAGAGGGCAGGAACACAGTGCAGGAGGCAAGCAGTTCAGTCCAGCTCTTCCAGGGAGTGCAGAGAGCATAAGAGGCCTTTGTTTAGCAACGACAACTAGACTCTGTTCATAAATTTCAGCCCAATTAGACACCAGGAGTCCTTCTTAACAGGCACATTCATTCTCAGGGTCGACATAACAAAGAACATGTGCACACTGAGCTCACCTAACACATGTTATTAACGTGAATAAAGTCTGCCTCATGATTTATTCATTACTTATTTCCATTTACAGTGCATCTGCAAAAATGTTCCTGTCAGAAGAATTACTATCAAAACTCAGATTTTCATTCTGTGTCAAGGACATCTCAGAATGGAAAAACGAATGTCTACTCCTAGGGGCTGTGCTTCCTCCCCACACAAATTGCCTGGGTCACAATTCGTTCAGGAAGATTCTCAGATGTCTAGGAAACACACATCCCTAGTCATTATCCCATTACTTAAGGTTCAATGAGCTCTTCAAGCACTAAACCAAGACAAACTTAAGACTATAAAGATAAAATTACTGGTATTTGCCTGCTTCTTATATTACTATCTATGAAGGTTAATTTTAAGTATCAACTTGGCTGGACCACGGTGCCCAGATATTTGGTTAAAATTTATTCTGGATGTTTCTGTAAAGGTGTCTTTTGGATGAGACTAACATTTAAATCAGTGTACTTTGAGTAAAGCAGATTGCTCTCCAGAATGTGGATGAACAAATCACATCCAATCAGATGAAAACTTTAATAGAAAAAAGCTGACCGCCCCCAACCTTAAAGGAATTCTGTCAGCAAACTGCCTTTACACTCAAACTGCAACAGTACATTTTTTTTTCTGGACTCACCAAGCCTGCACAATCACGTGAGTCAATTCCTTAAATCATTCTCTCTCTCTAGCAATCTCTCTTCACACACACACACACACTCACACAACCTCCTGCTGACTATTTCTCTGGAGAACTCTAATACACTATGCAAAAGAAAACAGGACTTTGCCTTGGAATTTATTTAAAGGCATAAGGTTTATTTGAAGATCAAAAAATCAATAATATTAAGTCAACAATAAGTCTAAGAAAAGGTAGTCAAATTTTAGACGTGGAGACTTACTAGTTTCACCAAAGTTTCATTTAATTTTCCAAAAAATCAGTAAGGTACATTGCTTTATTCAAATAAAAGAAAGTAATTTGGTTTTTTTTCTTTTTTTTTTAAAGTGCTTGACACTAAAAGTCAAGATGAAATATTAAAATATTAGCATCTGTAGATGTCCAAAAATATGTCACACAGACACAAAAATATGTACAGGTCAACTTTCCCTAGAAAATTCATAAAGAATAAAGATATAATTATGGACTATTTATACATTACTATTAAGCTTGAATAATTATTTGTATTACTTTTCTCAATTTCTCTTAAGAAAAAAAATAGTGATGGGGTACTGTGGAATAATAAGTATATTTGGTCTTTGTTCTGGGTTCCTAGCACAAAGCTCCTAAAAACCCTTAAGATTTTGAGTGATAGAAATGTCTTTTGTAATTCATAAGGAGACCCTTTTGACCAAGGTGAGTTTATGCTAATGAGGTAGGACTCCTAAATAGCCTCTGGATGAGGCTGGTCACCAGAAAGACCAAATGATTAGAAGGTTGGAATTTTTTAACCACACCTATAGAGCTCTGGGAAGGGGAAGAGGGGACTACAGATGAACCCCTATAAAAACTCCTGAACAGCAAGATTTGATGAGTTTCCAGGTTGGTAAATGTATCCACATGCCAGGAGTGTGGTGCACCCCAATTCCATGGGGACACAAACTCCTGGGCTAAGAACCCTCCCAGACCTCACTCTATGTACCTCTTCATCTAGCTGTTCATCTATATCCCCTATAATATCCTTTATAATAAACTGATAAATATAAGTACAGCAGGTCCTTGGATAATGTAGTTTTACTGAATGTCATTTTGTTAAAATGTTGATTAGAAAAAGAAAAAAAAAATCAGCTCCCAGCAGGGGCTACTGTCTGTGTGCCTTTTGCACGTTCTTCCACATCTGTATGAGTTTTCTCCATGTACTCTGGTTTCCTCCCATATCCCAAAGATGTATGTGTTAGGTGAATTGGCATGTCTTAATTGTCCCAATCTGACTGTGTGGGTGTGTGTGACACCCACCATCTTGTCCAGGATGGGTTTCCGCCTTGTGCCTTGAGCTGCTGGAAGAGGCTCCACCACCCCCCGCCCCAAGACAATGAACTGAATTAAGGAGGTTAGAAAATAGTTATCTCACTGGTTTTTATTCATCTTTCCTAATGCATGTATAGCTCACATTTATTTCAATGTTTAATAAGTGTTTTGGGTTTTTATGTAGAATTTTGGTGATGTTTTTGTGACCAGAAATGGGATATAAGAACTTAACTATTGCTTATGTCAATTAGTCCATGATAAAATTGGTTTCATTATACATTATTTCACTTAAAGTCACAGTTTCCAAGAACATATTACTAATGTTAAATGAGGACTTACTGTAAATGTTTCTCTGAGTTCTCCCATGACCTTCTCTAACAAATTAATCAAATCTGAGGAAGAAGGTGTAGGAAACTCCCATCTATAGCCAGTCAGAAGCACAGGTAATAACCTGGTGCTATTGGCATCTTAAGTGAGGGCAGTTTTGTAGGACCGAACCCTTAACCTTTATAATGCTCTCTCCAGTAGTGGCAGAATTTAAATCTGTAGGACACCCAGTCAGTATCTGCTGAGAAGTGGAGAATTGCTTGGTAGTGTTGAAAAAAAACACGTATCAGAAGCACTATGATCTTAAGAAGCTGTGAGTGACCTGACAGAAAAAATTCCTTTGCATAAAAGAATCCTCTGATCTTCAAAACACTGATTACTGGGGTTTATAAAGACCCATGTGTTCATACCACAAGAGTGCCTATATCAAAACAACCTTGGTTGGAATTCACTTTTTATTGTTACATATAAAAAGAAAGGAGAATATAGGAGATAACGATTTAGAAGTGGTAGGTGGAGACAAAAACAAAGAGATTTAACAGAGAACATAAGAAATTTCAGTTCATCATCTGCAACTTTCTTTATAAAGTCATTGCTTTATTAGTTTATGTACAGTAGTGGGTCTCAAAGTGTGATCCCCAGTTCAACAACATCAACACTACCTGAAATATACATTCTTGGTCCCCACTTCAGACTTAGTGAATTTGATGCACTATGAAGCTTGAAAACCAGTAACTTCTAGTAAAGTCAAAAATGTTCAAGTATGAGACACAACTAAATCAGGAAATTCTAGAAATTGACAGAATTTGGATACATCACTATGGACCATGTGGAGGAAATTTTTGTTACTATTATCCTTCTTTTTTTTAAGACATTTATTTAAAAAAAATACTTTCCCAATATTATTTAAGTGACATTACTTAAGAAATCTCCCATGAGCTAAAATTTCAACCCATTCATAAGGTTGCTTTATGCTGACCAAGACAGAACAAAGCAGAAGTTTTTAGGAAAGATAATGACACATTCCCAGGCAAAACTTACAGGCTGAGGCACCATATTATAAATTGCTAAACTTTGTTTGGTTGGTTTTTTTAAGGTGGGGCAACCCTTGACTGACCTCACAGATTGCAAGGACCTTACAATCAGCTTACAATCTCTTATTTTTTTTTATTTTTTATTTTTTATGCCTACAGCACCTGGTCTTCCTAGGTGGTCTCCCATACAAGTACTAACCAGGCCCGACCCTGCTTAGCTTCCGAGATCAGACGAGATCGGGCTTGTTCAGGGTAACGTGGCTGTAGACTAAACTGCTAAACTTTGAATTCAATTTTTTCATTCTTCCATCATATGGGATATAAAAGTCATCAGTAGAAACTAAAAAGGCCAAATGTATATCATATTTCTACAAAGTTTTCATTTCCCTTTATGAAAATTTGCCAAAGGGGTAATTTCTCTGCCAATATAATTCAGGCTAATAGCATTCTTGTGTAAAGAATAAATACCTTTAAACTGCTTGATCATGTTCTGATGGTTTTCAATGGCTTCCTTTAAGATCATTTCAGGCTGGTCCATCTTCCATCGCCATTCAGTGCCCACCGGATTGGTGTGGTGCCTAGGAAAAAGGCAAAAGTTCTTTCCTTAAAACACTAAACACTGTTGCAAACACAGGAATAAAGTATTTGTACTCACATACTGACGTATAAATTGATATAATCTAAGATATATATTCAAAAATACACACAACACTTTGTATATGAGAGTATTCATTACACGGCCAGCTATCATAGCAAGTAAAAATTATATTAGCAAAAAATAAACCCATCTTAGTCATGATCTTTCATTGTTGTTTTTCAATTTGGACATTTGGTTCATTTCCAATTTTTTAGTATTATTATCTTTTCATGTGTTGATTGTTCATTTGTATATCTTCTTTGGAGAACTGTCTATTTAGATCCTTTATCCACTTTTGTAATCTAGTTATTTGTTCACGACAAATAAAACTCTTAATGTGAAACTTAAAAGTATAAGGTTTTCACTTAAATAAACAGAAACAGGAGACTTACAATGATAAATTTGAGATAGCTATACACATAACATTCAACAACTCCTTCTGAGAATTAGCAGAAAATATCTGTCTCTAAGAGTCTAATACCCATATTATCAAAATGAAGTAAGAAATTCATTTTGGAAAAATCACATCTGTACGTCATATTATAATTTAAAAACATGTTCATATACACAAACTCACTCAAGCAATTAAGCCTCACAGTAACCCTGTAAAAAATGTATTACTGTTTTGTTTTATAGTTAGGAAACTGAGACTTAGAGGCTATTTTAAGAACCTGGTAAAATTAAAAAAAATAACAACATTTATATAAGCATTTAAATCAATTTTTACTAGGTCTTTTCTGATATCCTAATCCATAATTGAAACAGATGGTAAATTCTAATTTTAAAAGTTAATATATTAGTACTTTTTTTTTTTATCAGAAACCATGGTAAATAAAATATCCCCATTTACTTTTTCTAAAATCTCATTAACGAATTTGTTAAGAATACTGTTTGCTTTTTAAACAACTGGGTAAATTTACTGCTGGAGAAATTGAAGGAGTGCATTATTGGCTATAAACAGGTAATACAGATAAAGAGGTATTACTCACTAACTCCTGCTATTTCCTTTGAATCTTGACCATCAAAAAAAAAAAAACTACTTATTGTCAACAATCTTAGGAAGAAATTAGAAGAGATTAAGAGATTGTAAAGTATGAAACAATAAGAACTAGGACACAAAGCACTTGATTATTTCTCCTACAAGCTAAGTATTACGTGATCAAAATATTTCGGTCCACATACTCATATGTCTTTTGTTTGCAAGTGCTCACCCTATAATATTTTAAGTTTTGTAAGCACATACCCTATTACTCAAAAGGAGATTTGATGTATCATTTTATTTCAATACTGCCATGTTCCAGCAATGCCCTTTACTTTTTAGTAATGGTACTTTTTTAAGTACCTTTGGTCCACTGTACACAGGATTTCTCAATCTCAGCACAACTGACATTTTGGACTAGAAAATTCTTTGTTGTGTGTCCTATGCATTAGAGAATGTTTAAGCACATCCCTGGCCTTTACCCACTAGATATCTAGAAAAGGGAATAAATGTAAAGAACTTAACGTGGGATAATGGTATTACATCTATATTCTCTTTTAAAAGGCCTTATTTTTTTATTATTATCTATCAATTGAAGGATGTACAGAATATAAAACAACATGATAGCTGAAATTTGCTTCAAATTAGTGAGGACTAGAGTAGGTAAACAGAACATGATTGGCAATATGTTAATAAATATACATAAAAGTTAATTATACTAGTCATCCTACTTATGTCCAAAAAACTTCATAATAAAAGTTTTTCTTAAAAAAATGAACCTAACACAGATCTCAGTAGATAAACAAACAACCTGCTGGTGGCTGCATCAAATGATTACAGTTCAGGGAAATAACAGACACCTGAATGCCTGGGAAAAGAAGCTGGGAGACAGATTCTTTGGTGAGTCAGAGCACTAAAAAACACTCATATGTACTGGGGAATTTAGAAAGCCTTAAACATGCTCAGGACAGGACATATGCAAAGATAAGACCCCAAACTTTCACCTACAATTGATTTTTCGGCTTGGCGCAGGCAGGAAGTGAATGCCAAAGCAGAGTTGTAAATAGCCTGGCTAAGCTTTGAAGGAATATCCAACACAGAGTGCAAAGACAGGGAGAATGGTTTTTCTTTGGGTTCATGCACTCAAGGAAATGTCAATCAACACATTAGGTGACAACTTAGACAGCTTTCACAGACAATATACAACGTAGAAGAGTATCTGTACAAAAACAGTTTAGAAAATTCACTAAGCACACAACTAAAATCCAGAGCAATCAACAAAAACAAACACTGAAGAATGGGTAAAAATCTAATTTCTAGAGTTAACACATAATATTCAAAATGCGAAATTTTCAATAACTTCAAACTTACTAGAAACAGATTTTAAGTCAACTGTCTTAAACATGCTCTAAGAGTTAGAGGAAACGATCAATAAAGAGCTGAAGGAAACCAGAAGAACAATATCTCAACAAATATAGAATACCAATTATGAGATACAAATGATAAAAGGAAATCAGAAAAAGTGCTAGAACTAAAAAGTATAACTGAAATGAAAATTCAGTGGAGGGTTTCAACATCAGATTTGGGCAGGCTTTGAGAAAAAAGAGTCAGTAAACTTGAAGATATCAAGTCTGAGGAGTAAAAAAGTAAAAATAGTAGCAGAGACCTGTGGGATACCACGAAGAATACCAACATATGCATAATGGGAGTCCCAGAAAGAGAAGAAAAAGTGAAAGAGGCAAAAAGAATATCTGATGAAACAATAATTGAAAACTTACCAAATTTGATAAGACATGAATTTAGATTATCTAAGAATTTCAATAAACTCCAAGTAGGAGAAATTCAAAGAGAGCCACACCAGGATACATTATAATCAAACTGCCGGAAAACAAAAACAAAGTAAAAGTCTTGAAAGAAGAGAAGACACTCATCATACCCAAGGAATCCTCAATGAAATTAATAGGCAATTTCTCAGCAAAAACCGTGGCGGTCAGGAGGCAGTAGGTGACATATTTAAAACGCTAAAAGGAAAAGTATGTCAACCAAAAATTCCATATCTGGAAAAACTATTCTTCAAAATTGAAGGCATTAGGAGATTCCCAGATAAACAAAAGATAAGGGAGTTCATCACTAGTGGACCTATAAGAAGTGTGAAAGGCAGTCCTTAGGCAGAAATAAAATGACACTAGATAGACACGAACAATAGAAAGAAATAAAAAACAACATAAAGAGAATTACATAGGTAAATACAAAAGTCAGTAATATTGCATTTTTGGATACTAACTCCTCTTTATTTTTCCTATATGATTTAAAGGAATAAAACAGCAATCATAAATCTATGTTAGTGGGCACATAACGTATAAAGTTGAAATTTGTGACAACAACATAAAGGGGAATGAAGGAAGCTTTGTATGTACAAAGATTTTGAATACTATTGAAGCAAAAGTGGTATTAGTTCAAAATAAAATCAGTCTTCATCATCTGCTGATTCAGTATGTGCTAAATTATCAACTTGCTAAAATTTACTAGTAACCCCCAAAATCAATTCTTGAAGCATACTTGTGATCATCCATGGCCATGCACAAAGAAGCAAAAATTTTGAGTCACCTGATACACATATTGCCAGATGAAGTCAAACAAGGCAATATTCTTTCTACCTTTTATTTAAGCTGTCATACCACAAACAAGTATTCTTTTGGCAGTCAATTTAATGTCCTGTTTTTTTTTCCTGCTTTTTGTTGGTGATTTTGCTGTTTAAAGTAGCTCACAAGCACAGTGCTGAAGTGCTGTACAGTGTTTCTAAGTGCAAGAAAGCTGTGATATGCCTTTATAAGGAAAATATATTACATAAGCTTCATTCAGGCATAAGTTATAGTGCTCTTGGCCATAAATTCAATGTTGATGAATCAACAACACATATTAAAAAAAGGTGTCTTTAAACAGAAACACACATCAAACAAGGTTATGTATTGATAAGATGATGAAAATGTTGTGATAAGAGAATTATCTCCCCTAAAAGTAATAGTTCAGTATTTGCTATATAGCATTCATGAGGCTTTATAGAACATAACTACCACAAATAAAGAGAACTGAGTGTAGATGGTTATAAGTTTAATAGCTTAGCTGTAATTCCCAGAGTAATAACCACCAAAAAATAAAAAGTGTAAAGAAAAGGAAACAGAATGAAGTCAATGATACACAGTAAAAAAATCAAACAAAAAAAGGCAGTAATAAAGAAAGTGAGCAACAAAAATGATGTAAAACATAGAAAATAGTAAAATTAAATGCATTAAATTCTCTACTGAAAAGCCAAAGATTGACAGAATGGATAAAAAAAAATATCCAACAATATGCTGTCTACAAGAGATTGACTTTAGATCCAAAGATACAAATAAATTGAAAGAGAAAAGGTAGAAAAAAGAAATTTGGTACAAATAGTAACCTAAAGAGATAACATAAGAGACCAACCAAGATGGCGTAGAAGGTAGATGCTGTGCATGCCTCCTCTCTCAACCACACCAAAATTATAACGAAACTACAGAGCAGCCATCACTAGGAGCCTGAGGTCTGGCCAAACAGAAGTCATACGACTGGAGACATATATAAGAGGTTATCTCAAGGCTAGGAGGAAGGGCAGGGACACAAAATAGTGCAGTCTCACAATTGCATGTGGCAGTCCAGAATTGGGAGGGTTATACTGGCTGTAGAGCGCCCTTCCCTCACCGAAGAGCAAGGGATCCTGGCCCAAGATTGGGCTCCCCAGGGCCTGCACATGGACTTATTCCCTAACAAACTAACTTGCTCTGATCGCTAGTGCTGGGGCAACTGCTGGAGGAGTGCTAGGGACATACGGGAAGTCACTGAGTTGTCAGGCTTCAAAGTGAGGGCTCAAGAGGCAGCTTCCTCCTGGACAAAAGTGCTGGCAGTATCCACTATTCCTTGGTTGAGCCCTCCCTGCTCCC